GTCTTCTTAATAATGACTATTCTTATAATACGTTCTTCTCATAATTAATGTTCGTATATTATGTCTTCTTATAATGACTGTTCTTATAATACGTCTTCTCATAATTAATGTTCGTATATTATGTCTTCTTATAATGACTGTTCTTATAATACGTCTTCTTATAATTAATGTTCGTATATTATGTCTTCTTATAATGACTGTTCTTATAATACGTCTTCTCATAATTAATGTTCGTATATTATGTCTTCTTATAATGACTGTTCTTATAATACGTCTTCTCATAATTAATGTTCGTATATTATGTCTTCTTAACTGTTCTTATAATACGTCTTCTCATAATTAATGTTCGTATTATATCTTCTTATAATGACTTTCTTATAATACGTCTTCTTATAATTAATGTTCGTATATTATGTCTTCTTATAATGACTGTTCTTATAATACGTCTTCTCATAATTAATGTTCGTATATTATGTCTTCTTATAATGACTGTTCTTATAATACGTCTTCTCATAATTAATGTTCGTATTATGTCTTCTTATAATGACTGTTCTTATAATACGTCTTCTTATAATTAATATTTCGTATATTATGTCTTCTTATAATGACTGTTCTTATAATACGTCTTCTTATAATTAATGTTCGTATATTATGTCTTCTTATAATGACTGTTCTTATAATACGTCTTCTTATAATTAATGTTCGTATATTATATCTTCTTATATTATAATACGTCTTCTTATAATTAATGTTCGTATATTATGTCTTCTTATAATTAATAATTAATGTTCGTATATTATGTCTTCTTATAATGACTGTTCTTATATAATACGTCTTCTCATAATTAATGTTCGTATTATGTCTTCTTATAATACTGTTCTTATAATACGTCTTCTTATAATTAATGTTCGTATATTATGTCTTCTTATAATGACTGTTCTTATAATACGTCTTCTTATAATTAATGTTCGTATATTATGTCTTCTTATAATGACTGTTCTTATAATACGTCTTCTCTTATAATTAATGTTCGTATATTATGTCTTCTTATAATGACTGTTCTTATAATACGTCTTCTCATAATTAATGTTCGTATATTATGTCTTCTTATAATGACTGTTCTTATAATACGTCTTCTTATAATTAATGTTCGTATATTATGTCTTCTTATAATGACTGTTCTTATATAATTCTTATAATTAATGTTCGTATATTATGTCTTCTTAAATGACTGTTCTTATATCTTCTCATAATTAATTTCGTATATAATAATGACTGTTCTTATAATACGTCTTCTCATAATTAATGTTCCGTATATTATGTCTTCTTATAATGACTGTTCTTATAATACATCTTCTTATAATTAATGTTCGTATATTATGTCTTCTTATAATGACTGTTCTTATAATACGTCTTCTTATAATTAATGTTCGTATATTATGTCTTCTTATATTACTGTTCTTATAATACGTCTTCTTATAATTAATGACTTCTTATAATGACTGTTCTTATAATACGTCTTCTCATAATTAATAATTCGTATATTATGTCTTCTTATAATGACTGTTCTTATAATACGTCTTCTTATAAATAATGTTCGTATATTATGTCTTCTTATAATAATTCTTAATACGTCTTCTCATAATTAATGTTCTATAATGTCTTCTTATAATGAAGCTTTCTTATAATACGTCTTCTCATAATTAATGTTCGTATATTATGTCTTCTTTATAATGACTGTTCTTATAATACGTCTTCTCATAATTAATGTTCGTATATTATGTCTTCTTATAATGACTGTTCTTATAATACGTCTTCTTATAATTAATGGTCGTATATTATGTCTTCTTATAATGACTGTTCTTATAATACGTCTTCTCATAATTAATGTTCGTATATTATGTCTTCTTATAATGACTGTTCTTATAATACGTCTTCTTATAATTAATGTTCGTATATTATGTCTTATAATGACTGTTCTTATAATACGTCTTCTTATAATTAATGTTCGTATATATGTCTTCTTATAATGACTGTTCTTATAATACGTCTTCTTATAATTAATATTCCGTATATTATGTCTTCTTATAATGACTGTTCTTATAATACGTCTTCTTATAATTAATGTTCGTATATTATGTCTTCTTATAATGACTGTTCTTATAATACGTCTTCTTATAATTAATGTTCGTATATTATGTCTTCTTATAATGACTTCTCATTCTTCTTATATAATACGTCTTCTTCATTAATGTTCGTATATTATCTTCTTATAATGACTGTTCTTATAATACGTCTTCTCATAATTAATGTTCGTATATTATGTCTTCTTATAATGACTGTTCTTATAATACGTCTTCTCTATAATTAATGTTCGTATATTATGTCTTCTTATAATGACTGTTCTTATAATACGTCTTCTCATAATTAATGTTCGTATATTATGTCTTCTTATAATGACTGTTCTTATAATACGTCTTCTTCTTATAATTAATGTTCGTATATTATGTCTTCTTATAATGACTGTTCTTATAATACGTCTTCTCTATAATTAATGTTCGTATATTATGTCTTCTTATAATGACTGTTCTTATAATACGTCTTCTTATAATTAATGTTCGTATATTATGTCTTCTTATAATGACTGTTCTTATAATACGTCTTCTTATAATTAATGTTCGTATATTATGTCTTCTTATAATGACTGTTCTTATAATACGTCTTCTCATATTAATGTTCGTATATTATGTCTTCGTATATTGACTGTTCTTATAATACGTCTTCTCATTATAATGTCTTCTGTATGACTGTTCTTATAATACGTCTTCTCATAATTAATGTCTTCTTATGTATATAATATCTTCTCATAATTAATCTTATAATGACTGTTCTTATAATACGTCTTCTCATAATTAATGTTCGTATATTATGTCTTCTTATAATGACTGTTCTTATAATACGTCTTCTCATAATTAATGTTCGTATATTATGTCTTCTTATAATGACTGTTCTTATAATACGTCTTCTCATAATTAATGTTCGTATATTATGTCTTCTTATAATGACTGTTCTTATAATACGTCTTCTCATAATTAATGTTCGTATATTATGTCTTCTTATAATGACTGTTCTTATAATACGTCTTCTCGCAATTAATGTTCGTATATTATGTCTTCTTATATAATGATTCTTATAATACGTCTTATAATTAATGTTCGTATATTATGTCTTCTTATAATGACTGTTCTTATAATACGTCTTCTCATAATTAATGTTCGTATATTATGTCTTCTTATAATGACTGTTCTTATAATACGTCTTCTTATAATTAATGTTCGTATATTATGTCTTCTTATATGTTCTTATAATACGTCTTCTTATAATTAATGTTCGTATATTATGTCTTCTTATAATGTCTGTTCTTATAATACGTCTTCTCATAATTAATGTTCGTATATGTCTTCTTATAATGACTGTTCTTATAATACGTCTTCTCAATGTTCGTATGTTATGTCTTCTTATAATGTTTCTTATAATACGTCTTCTAATTAATTTCGTATATTATGTCTTCTTATAATTCTTATAATACGTCTTCTTATAATTAATGTTCGTATATTATGTCTTCTTATAATGACTGTTCTTATAATACGTCTTCTCATAATTAATGTTCGTATATTATGTTCTATAATGACTTTATTCTTATAATACGTCTTCTCATAATTAATGTTCGTATATTATGTCTTCTTATAATGACTGTTCTTATATTACGTCTTATAATTAATGTTCGTATGTCTTCTTATAATCTTTCTTATAATACGTCTTCTCTATAATTAATGTTCGTATATATGTCTTCTGTTGTTCTTATAATACATCTTCTCATAATTAATGTTCGTATATTATGTCTTCTTATAATGACTGTTCTTATAATACGTCTTCTTATAATTAATGTTCGTATATTATGTCTTCTTATAATGACTGTTCTTATAATACGTCTTCTCATAATTAATGTTCATTATATTATGTCTTCTTATAATGACTGTTCTTATAATACGTCTTCTCATAATTAATGTTCATTATTATGTCTTCTTAAATGACTCTTATAATACGTCTTCTCATAATTAATGTTCGTATATATTATGTCTTATTAAATGACTGTTCTTATAATACGTCTTCTCATAATTAATGTTCGTATATTTATGTCTTCTTATAATGACTCTTCTTATAATACATCTTCTTTATAATTAATGTTCGTATATTATGTCTTCTCATAATTAATTTCTTATAATACGTCTTCTTATAATACGTCTTCTCATATATTCGTATGTCTTTCTTATAATGACTGTTCTTATAATACGTCTTCTCATAATTAATGTTCGTATATTATGTCTTCTTATAATGACTGTTCTTATAATCTTCTCACTTGTTCGTATATTATGTCTTCTTATAATGTGTTCTTATAATACGTATAATTAATGTTTCGTATATTTATGTGTCTTCTTATAATGACTGTTCTTATAATACGTCTTCTCATAATTAATGTTCATATATTATGTCTTCTTATATTGACTGTTCTTATAATACGTCTTCTCATAATTAATTTCGTATATTATGTCTTCTTATAATGACTGTTCTTATAATACGTCTTCTCATAATTAATGTTCGTATATATGTCTTCTTATAATGACTGTTCTTATAATACGTCTTCTCATAATTAATATTTCGTATATTATGTCTTATAATGACTGTTCTTATAATACGTCTTCTTATAATTAATGTTCGTATATTATGTCTTCTTATAATGACTGTTCTTATAATACGTCTTCTCATAATTAATGTTCGTATATTATGTCTTCTTATAATGATTTCTTATAATACGTCTTCTTATAATTAATGTTCGTATATTATGTCTTCTTATAATGACTGTTCTTTAATTCTTCTTAATTAATGTTCGTATATTATTCTTATAATGACTGTTCTTATATTACGTCTTCTCGTAATTAATGTTCGTATATTATGTCTTCTTATTTCTTATAATACGTCTTCTTATAATTAATGGTCGTATATTATGTCTTCTTATAATGACTGTTCTTATAATACGTCTTCTTATAATTGATGTTCGTATATTATGTCTTCTTATGACTGTTCTTATAATACGTCTTCTCATAATTAATGTTCGTATATTATGTCTTCTTATAATGACTGTTCTTATAATACGTCTTCTTATAATTAATGTTCGTATATTATGTCTTCTTATAATGACTGTTCTTATAATACGTCTTCTTATAATTAATATTCGTATATTATGTCTTCTTATAATGACTGTTCTTATATTACGTCTTCTCATAATTAATGTTCGTATTATTCTTCTTATAATGACTGTTCTTATATTACGTATTCACATAATTAAATACGTCTTCGTATATTTTCATGTATATGTTATAATGACTGTTCTTATAATACGTCTTCTCATAATTAATGTTCGTATATTATGTCTTCTTATAATACGTCTTCTTCTTAATGTTCGTATATTATGTCTTCTTAATGACTGTTCTTTATACGTCTTCCTCATAATGTTCGTATATTATGTCTTCTTATAATGACTGTTCTTATAATACGTCTTCTCATAATTAATGTTCGTATATTATGTCTTCCTTTTTTTTTTATAATGACTGTTCCATAATACGTCTTCATAATTAATGTCTTCGTATATTATGTCTTCTTATAATGACTGTTCTTATAATACGTCTTCTCATAATTAATGTTCGTATATTATGTCTTCTTATAATGACTGTTCTTATAATACGTCTTCTTATAATTAATGTTCGTATATTATGTCTTATAATGACTGTTCTTATAATACGTCTTCTTATAATTAATGTTCGTATTAGGCCCTCTTATAATGACTGTTCTTATAATGTCTTCATACTAATGTTCGTATATTATGTCTTCTTATAATGACTGTTCTTATAATACGTCTTCTCTACCACGTTCGTATATTATGTCTTATAATGACTGTTTCTTATAATATGTCTTCTTATAATTGTTCGTATATTATGTCTTCTTATAATGACTGTTCTTATAATACGTCTTCTTAAATTAATCTTCGTATATTATGTCTTCTTAAATGACTCATATATCTTCTCATAATTAATATTCGTATATTATATAATGACTGTTCTTATAATACGTCTTCTCATAATTAATGTTCGTATATTATGTCTTCTTATAATGACTGTTCTTATAATACGTCTTCTTTAATGTTAATTAATAATGGTTCTTATAATACGTATATTATGTTCGTATATTATGTCTTCTTATATGACTGTTCTTATAATATGTCTTCTTATAATTGATGGTCGTATATTATGTCTTCTTATAATGACTGTTCTTATAATACGTCTTCTTATAATTAATATTCGTATATTATGTCTTCTTATAATGTTTCTTATAATACGTCTTCTCATAATTATGTTCGTATATTATCTTCTTATAATGACTGTTCTTATAATACGTCTTCTCATAATTAATGTTCGTATATTATGTCTTCTTATAATGACTATTCTTATAATACGTCTTCTCATAATTAATGTTCGTATATTATGTCTTCTTATAATGACTGTTCTTATAATACGTCTTCTTATAATTAATGTTCGTCTTCATATTATGTCTTCATCTTATAATGACTGTTCTTATAATACGTCTTCTTATAATTAATGTTCGTATATTATGTCTTCTTATAATGACTGTTCTTATAATACGTCTTCTTATAATTAATGTTCGTATATTATGTCTTCTTATAATGACTGTTCTTATAATATGTCTTCTTATAATTGTGAATTCTTAATACGTCTTCTTATAATTAATGTTCGTATATTATGTTTCTTATAATGACTATGTATGCTTCTTATAATTAATGTTCGTATTTATGTCTTCTTATAATGACTGTTCTTATAATACGTCTTATAATTAATGTTCGTATATTATGTCTTATAATTATAATACGTCTTCTTATAATTAATGTTCGTGTAATATGTCTTCTTATAATGACTGTTCTTATAATACGTCTTCTCATAATTAATGTTCATATATTATGTCATCTTTATAATGACTGTTCTTATAATACGTCTTCTCCATAATTAATGGTCGTATATTATGTCTTCTTATAATGACTGTTCTTATAATACTTCTCTAATTAATGTTCGTATATATTAATAATTAATATGTTCTTATTATGTCTTCTCGCATAATTACCGTTCTTCTTATAATACGTCTTCTTAAATTAATGTTCGTATATTATGTCTTCTTATAATGACTGTTCTTATAATAATGTCTTCTTATAATTAATGTTCGTATATTATGTCTTATAATGGCTGTTCTTATAATACGTCTTCTCATAATTATTCGTATATTATGTCTTCTTATAATATTTATTATTAATACGTCTTCTTATAATTAATGTTCGTATATTATGTCTTCTTATAGACTTATTATACGTCTTCTTATAATTATTCGTATATTATGTCTTCTTATAATTCTTATAATACATTTCTCATACGTAATCCTTCGTATATTATGTCTTCTTATAATGACTGTTCTTATAATACGTCTTCTCATAATTAATGTTCGTATATTATGTCTTCTTATAATGACTGTTCTTATAATACGTCTTCTCATAATTAATGTTCGTATATTATGTCTTCTTATAATGACTGTTCTTATAATACGTCTTCTTATAATTAATGTTCGTATATTATGTCTCTTATAATGACTGTTCTTATAATACGTCTTCTCATAATTAATGTTCGTATATTATGTCTTATAATGACTGTTCTTATAATACGTCTTCTCATAATTAATGTTCGTATATTATGTCTTCTTATAATACTGTTCTTATAATACGTCTTCTCATAATTAATGTTCGTATATTATGTCTTCTTATAATAATACGTCTTCTTTATAATTAATGTTCGTATATTATGTCTTCTTATAATGACTGTTCTTATAATACGTCTTCTTATAATTAATGTTCGTATATTATTATAATGTCTTATAATACGTCTTCTCATAATTAATGTTCGTATATTATGTCTTCTTATAATGACTGTTCCTTATAATACGTCTTCTCAAATTAATGTTCGTATATTATGTCTTCTTAAAAATGAATGTTCTTATATTACGTCTTCTTATAATTAATGTTCGTATATTATGTCTTATAATGACTGTTCTTATATTACGTCTTCTCATAATTAATGTTCGTATATTATGTCTTCTTATAATGACTGTTCTTATAATACGTCTTTATAATTAATGTCGTATATTATGTCTTCTAATGACTGTTCTTATAATACGTCTTCTCATAATTAATGTTCGTATATTATGTCTTCTTATAATGATCGTTCTTATAATACGTCTTCTCATAATTAATGTTCGTATATTATGTCTTCTTATAATGACTGTTCTTATAATACGTCTTCTTATAATTAATGTTCGTATATTATGTTCTTATAATGACTGTTCTTATAATATGTCTTCTTATAATTAATATTCGTATATTATGTCTTCTTATAATGACTGTTCTTATAATACGTCTTCTTTAATTAATCTTCGTATATTATGTCTTCTTATAATGACTGTTCTTATAATACGTCTTCATAATAAATGTTCGTATATTATGTCTTCTAACTTATAATGACTGTTCTTATAATACGTCTTCTCATACTTAATGTTCGTATATTATGTCTTCTTATAATGACTGTTCTTATAATACGTCTTCTCATAATTAATGTTCGACTATATTACGTCTTCTTAATTAATGTTCGTATATTATGTTCTTATAATGACGTCTTCTCATAATTAATGTTCGTATATTATGTCTTCTTATAATGACTGTTCTTATAATACGTCTTCTTATAATTAATGTTCGTATATTATGTCTTCTTATAATGACTGTTCTTATAATACGTCTTCTTATAATTAATGTTCGTATATTATGTCTTCTTATAATGACTGTTCTTATAATACGTCTTCTCATAATTAATGTTCGTATATTATGTCTTCTTATAATGACTGTTCTTATAATACGTCTTCTCATAATTAATGTTCGTATATTATGTCTTCTTATAATGACTGTTCTTATAATACGTCTTCTTATAATTAATGTTCGTATATTATGTCTTCTTATAATGACTGTTCTTATAATACGTCTTCTTATAATTAATGTTCGTATATTATGTCTTCTTATAATGACTGTTCTTATAATACGTCTTCTTATAATTAATGTTCGTATATTATGTCTTCTTTCTCATAATGACTGTTCTTATAATACGTCTTCTTATAATTAATGTTCGTATATTATGTCTTCTTATAATGACTGTTCGTATAATACGTCTTCTCATAATTAATGTTCGTATATTATGTCTTCTTATAATGACTGTTCTTATAATACGTCTTCTTATAATTAATGTTCGTATATTATGTCTTCTTATAATGACTGTTCGTATAATACGTCTTCTCATAATTAATGTTCGTCTTCTTATAATAATCTTATAATACGTCTTCTCATAATTAATGTTCGTATATTATGTCTTCTTATAATGACTGTTCTTATAATACGTCTTCTTATAATTAATGTTCGTATATTATGTCTTCTTATAATGACTGTTCGTATAATACGTCTTCTTATAATTAATGTTCGTATATTATGTCTTCTTATAATGACTGTTCTTATAATACGTCTTCTTATAATTAATGTTCGTATATTATGTTCTTATAATGACTGTTCTTCTTATACGTCTTCTTATAATTAATGTTCGTATATTATGTCTTCTTATAATGACTGTTCTTATAATACGTCTTCTCATAATTAATGTTCGTATATTATGTCTTCTTATAATGACTGTTCTTATAATACGTCTTCTTATAATTAATGTTCGTATATTATGTCTTCTTATAATGACTGTTCTTATAATACGTCTTCTCATAATTAATGTTCGTATATTATGTCTTCTTATAATGACTGTTCTTATAATACGTCTTCTCATAATTAATGTTCGTATATTATGTCTTATAATGACTGTTCTTATAATACGTCTTCTCATAATTAATGTTCGTATATTATGTCTTCTTATAATGACTGTTCTTATAATACGTCTTCTCATAATGTTCGTATATTATGTCTTCTTATAATGACTGTTCTTATAATACGTCTTCTCATAATTAATGTTCGTATATTATGTCTTCTTATAATGACTGTTCTTATAATACGTCTTCTCATAATTAATGTTCGTATATTATGTCTTCTTATAATGACTGTTCTTATAATACGTCTTCTCATAATTAATGTTCGTATATTATGTCTTCTTATAATGACTGTTCTTATAATACGTCTTCTTATAATTAATGTTCGTATATTATGTCTTCTTATAATGACTGTTCTTATAATACGTCTTCTCATAATTAATGTTCGTATATTATGTCTTCTTATAATGACTGTTCTTATAATACGTCTTCTTATAATTAATGTTCGTATATTATGTCTTCTTATAATGACTGTTCTTATAATACGTCTTCTTATAATTAATGTTCGTATATTATGTCTTCTTATAATGACTGTTCTTATAATACGTCTTCTTTATAATTAATGTTCGTATATTATGTCTTCTTATAATGACTGTTCTTATAATACGTCTTCTCATAATTAATGTTCGTATATTATGTCTTCTTATAATGACTGTTCTTATAATACGTCTTCTCATAATTAATGTTCGTATATTATGTCTTCTTATAATGACTGTTCTTATAATACGTCTTCTCATAATTAATGTTCGTATATTATGTCTTCTTATAATGACTGTTCTTATAATACGTCTTCTCATAATTAATGTTCGTATATTATGTCTTCTTATAATGACTGTTCTTATAATACGTCTTCTTATAATTAATGTTCGTATATTATGTCTTCTTATAATGACTGTTCTTATAATACGTCTTCTCATAATTAATGTTCGTATATTATGTCTTCTTATAATGACTGTTCTTATAATACGTCTTCTCATAATTAATGTTCGTATATTATGTCTTCTTATAATGACTGTTCTTCTTAAATACTTCTTATAATTAATGTTCGTATATTATGTCTTCTTATAATGACTGTTCTTATAATACGTCTTCTTATAATTAATGTTCGTATATTATGTCTTCTTATAATGACTGTTCTTATAATACGTCTTCTTATAATTAATGTTCGTATATTATGTCTTCTTATAATGACTGTTCTTATAATACGTCTTCTTATAATTAATGTTCGTATATTATGTCTTCTTATAATGACTGTTCTTATAATACGTCTTCTTATAATTAATGTTCGTATATTATGTCTTCTTATAATGACTGTTCTTATAATACGTCTTCTTATAATTAATGTTCGTATATTATGTCTTCTTATAATGACTGTTCTTATAATACGTCTTCTTATAATTAATGTTCGTATATTATGTCTTCTTATAATGACTGTTCTTATAATACGTCTTCTTATAATTAATGTTCGTATATTATGTCTTCTTATAATGACTGTTCTTATAATACGTCTTCTTATAATTAATGTTCGTATATTATGTCTTCTTATAATGACTGTTCTTATAATACGTCTTCTCATAATTAATGTTCATATTTCTTCTTCTTATAATTGTTCTTATAATACGTCTTCTTATAATGTTCTATTCTTATAATTCTTACGTCTTCTCATAATTAATGTTCGTATTATGTCTTCTTATAATGACTGTTCTTATAATACGTCTTCTCATAATTAATGTTCGTATATTATGTCTTCTTATAATGACTGTTCTTATAATACGTCTTCTTATAATTAATGTTCTTGTATAATTATGTCTTCTTAATGGTGACTGTTCTTATAATACGTCTTCTCATAATTAATGTTCGTATATTATGTCTTCTTATAATGACTGTTCTTATAATACGTCTTCTTATAATTAATGTTCGTATATTATGTCTTCTTATAATGACTGTTCTTATAATACGTCTTCTCATAATTAATGTTCGTATATTATGTCTTCTTATAATGACTGTTCTTATAATACGTCTTCTCATAATTAATGTTCGTATATTATGTCTTCTTATAATGACTGTTCTTATAATACGTCTTCTCATAATTAATGTTCGTATATTATGTCTTCTTATAATGACTGTTCTTATAATACGTCTTCTTATAATTAATGTTCGTATATTATGTCTTCTTATAATGACTGTTCTTATAATACGTCTTCTCATAATTAATGTTCGTATATTATGTCTTCTTATAATGACTGTTCTTATAATACGTCTTCTCATAATTAATGTTCGTATATTATGTCTTCTTATAATGACTGTTCTTATAATACGTCTTCTTATAATTAATGTTCGTATATTATGTCTTCTTATAATGACTGTTCTTATAATACGTCTTCTCATAATTAATGTTCGTATATTATGTCTTCTTATAATGACTGTTCTTATAATACGTCTTCTTAATGTAATGTTCTCTTATGTCTTCTTAATGACTGTTCTTATAATACGTCTTCTCTTAATTAATGTTCGTATATTATGTCTTCTTATAATGACTGTTCTTATAATACGTCTTCTCATAATTAATGTTCGTATATTATGTCTTCTTATAATGACTGTTCTTATAATACGTCTTCTCATAATTAATGTTCGTATATTATGTCTTCTTATAATGACTGTTCTTATAATACGTCTTCTCATAATTAATGTTCGTATATTATGTCTTCTTATAATGACTGTTCTTATAATACGTCTTCTCATAATTAATGTTCGTATATTATGTCTTCTTATAATGACTGTTCTTATAATACGTCTTCTCATAATTAATGTTCGTATATTATGTCTTCTTTTATAATGACTGTTCTTATAATACGTCTTCTCATAATTAATGTTCGTATATTATGTCTTCTTATAATGACTGTTCTTATAATACGTCTTCTTATAATTAATGTTCGTATATTATGTCTTCTTATAATGACTGTTCTTATAATACGTCTTCTCATAATTAATGTTCGTATATTATGTCTTCTTATAATGACTGTTCTTATAATACGTCTTCTCATATAATTAATGTTCGTATATTATGTCTTCTTATAATGACTGTTCTTATAATACGTCTTCTTCATAATTAATGTTCGTATATTATGTCTTCTTATAATGACTGTTCTTATAATACGTCTTCTCATAATTAATGTTCGTATATTATGTCTTCTTATAATGACTGTTCTTATAATACGTCTTCTCATAATTAATGTTCGTATATTATGTCTTCTTATAATGACTGTTCTTATAATACGTCTTCTCATAATTAATGTTCGTATATTATGTCTTCTTATAATGACTGTTCTTATAATACGTCTTCTTATAATTAATGTTCGTATATTATGTCTTCTTATAATGACTGTTCTTATAATACGTCTTCTTATAATTAATGTTCGTATATTATGTCTTCTTATAATGACTGTTCTTATAATACGTCTTCTCATAATTAATGTTCGTATATTATGTCTTCTTATAATGACTGTTCTTATAATACGTCTTCTTATAATTAATGTTCGTATATTATGTCTTCTTATAATGACTGTTCTTATAATACGTCTTCTTATAATTAATGTTCGTATATTATGTCTTCTTATAATGACTGTTCTTATAATACGTCTTCTCATAATTAATGTTCGTATATTATGTCTTCTTATAATGACTGTTCTTATAATACGTCTTCTTTATAATTAATGTTCGTATATTATGTCTTCTTATAATGACTGTTCTTATAATACGTCTTCTCATAATTAATGTTCGTATATTATGTCTTCTTATAATGACTGTTCTTATAATACGTCTTCTCATAATTAATGTTCGTATATTATGTCTTCTTATAATGACTGTTCTTATAATACGTCTTCTCATAATTAATGTTCGTATATTATGTCTTCTTATAATGACTGTTCTTATAATACGTCTTCTCATAATTAATGTTCGTATATTATGTCTTCTTATAATGACTGTTCTTATAATACGTCTTCTTATAATTAATGTTCGTATATTATGTCTTCTTATAATGACTGTTCTTATAATACGTCTTCTCATAATTAATGTTCGTATATTATGTCTTCTTATAATGACTGTTCTTATAATACGTCTTCTCTAATTAATGTTCGTATTATGTCTTCTTATAATGACTGTTCTTATAATACGTCTTCTTATAATTAATGTTCTTATATTATGTCTTCTTATAATACTCTTCTTATAATACGTTTTCTTATAATTCTTCTTATATTATGTCTTCTTATAATGACTGTTCTTATAATACGTCTTTATAATTAATGTTCGTATATTATGTCTTCTTATAATGACTGTTCTTATAATACGTCTTCTCATAATTAATGTTCGTATATTATGTCTTCTTATAATGACTGTTCTTATAATACGTCTTCTCATAATTAATGTTCGTATATTATGTCTTCTTATAATGACTGTTCTTATAATACGTCTTCTTATAATTAATGTTCGTATATTATGTCTTCTTATAATGACTGTTCTTATAATACGTCTTCTCATAATTAATGTTCGTATATTATGTCTTCTTATAATGACTGTTCTTATAATACGTCTTCTCATAATTAATGTTCGTATATTATGTCTCTTATAATGACTGTTCTTATAATACGTCTTCTCATAATTAATGTTCGTATATTATGTCTTCTTATAATGACTGTTCTTATAATACGTCTTCTTATAATTAATGTTCGTATATTATGTCTTCTTATAATGACTGTTCTTATAATACGTCTTCTTATAATTAATGTTCGTATATTATGTCTTCTTAATAATGACTTATAATGTTCTTATAATACGTCTTCTTATTATAATGTTCGTATATTATGTCTTATAATGACTGTTCTATAATTACTTCTTCTCATAATTAATGTTCGTATATTATGTCTTCTTATAATGACTGTTCTTATAATACGTCTTCTTATAATTAATGTTCGTATATTATGTCTTCTTATAATGACTGTTCTTATAATACGTCTTCTTATAATTAATGTTCGTATATTATGTCTTCTTATAATGACTGTTCTTATAATACGTCTTCTCATAATTAATGTTCGTATATTATGTCTTCTTATAATGACTGTTCTTATAATACGTCTTCTCATAATTAATGTTCGTATATTATGTCTTCTTATAATGACTGTTCTTATAATACGTCTTCTCATAATTAATGTTCGTATATTATGTCTTCTTATAATGACTGTTCTTATAATACGTCTTCTTGCATAATTAATGTTCGTATATTATGTCTTCTTATAATGACTGTTCTTATGTACGTCTTCTCATAATTAATGTTCGTATATTATGTCTGTATAATGACTGTTCTTATAATACGTCTTCTTATAATTAACATTCGTATTATGTCTTCTTATAATGACTGTTCTTATAATACGTCTTCTTATAATTAATGTTCGTATAATTAATGTTCAATGGCTGTATATTAATACGTCTTCTTCATAATTAATGTTCGTATATTATGTCTTATAAATATAATACGTCTTCTTATAATTAATGTTCGTATATTATGTCTTATAATGACTGTTCTTATAACGGCTGTCTTCTCTATAATTAATGTTCGTATATTATGTCTTCTTATAATGATCTTATTCTTATAATACGTCTTCTCATAATTAATGTTCGTATATTATATGTTCTTATAATGACTGTCTTATAATACGTCTTCTCTAATTAATGTTCGTATATTATGTCTTCTTATAATGACTGTTCTTATATTACGTCTTCTTATAATTAATGTTCGTATATTATGTCTTCTTAATGACTGTTCTTATAATACGTCTTCTCATAATTAATGTTCGTATATTATGTCTTCTTATAAATGACTGTTCTTATATTATTGCTTCTTATAATTAATGTTCGTATATTATGTCTTCTTATAATGACTGTTTCTTATAATACGTCTTCTCATAATTAATGTTCGTTTATTATGTCTTCTTATAATGACTGTTCTTATAATACGTCTTCTTATAATTAATGTTCGTATATTATGTCTTCTTATAATTGACTGTTCTTATAATACGTCTTCTCATAATTAATGTTCGTATTTATGTCTTCTTATAATGACTGTTCTTATAATAAATTTCATAATTAATGTTCGTATATTATGTCTTATAATGACTGTTCTTATAATACGTCTTCTCATAATTAATGTTCGTATATTATGTCTTCTTATAATGACTGTTCTTATAATACGTCTTCTCATAATTAATATCCGTATATTATGTCTTCTTATAATGACTGTTCTTATAATACGTCTTCTCATAATTAATGTTCGTATATTATGTCTTCTTATGTATTCTTATAATACGTCTTCTTATAATTAATGTTCTTATATTATATGTCTTCTCTTTATAATTAATGTTCGTATATTATGTCTTCTTATAATGACTGTTCTTATATTGACGTCTTCTCATAATTAATGTTCGTATATTATGTCTTCTTATAATGACTGTTCTTATAATACGTCTTCTCATTCAAATTAATGTTCGTATAATATTTGTTATGTCTTCTTATAATGACTGTTCTTATAATACGTTCTTCTTTCTAATTAATGTTCGTATATTATGTCTTCTTATAATGACTGTTCTTATAATACGTCTTCTTATAATTAATGTTCGTATATTGTCTTCTTATAATGACTGTTCTTATAATACGATCTTCATAATTAATGTTCGTATATTATGTCTTCTTTATAATGACTGTTCTTATAATACGTCTTCTCTCAATAATGTTCGTATATTATGTCTTCTTATAATATTTGTTCTTATAATACGTCTTCTCATAATTAATGTTCGTATATTATGTCTGTTTCTGTTCTTATAATACGTCTTCTCATATAATGTTCGTATATTATGTCTTCTTATAATGACTGTTCTTATAATACGTCTTCATAATGTGTCGTATATTATGTTTCTTATATTATTTGTTCTTATAATACGTCTTCTCACAATTAATGTTCGTATATTATGTCTTCTTATAATGACTGTTCTTATAATACGTCTTCTCATAATTAATGTTCGTATATTATAATGTCTTTCTTATAATGTCTTCTCTGGTAATGTTCTATATTATGTTTCTTATAATACTGTTCTTACGTCTTCTTATAATTAATGTTCGTATATTATGACTTATAATGACTGTTCTTATATACGTCTTCTCATAGTGTTCGTATATTATGTCTTCTTTATAATGACTGTTCTTATAATACGTCTTCTTATAATTAATGTTCGTATATTATGTCTTCTTATATTGTCATGTCTTCTTATAATTAATGTTCGTATATTACGTCTTCTCATAATGAATGTTCTTATAATACGTCTTCTCATAGTATGTTCTTCTTATGTCTTATAATGACCGTTCTTATAATACGTCTTCTCATAATTAATGTTCGTATATTATGTCTTCTTATAATGACTGTTCTTATAATGCGTCTTCTCATAATTAATGTTCATATTATGTCTTCTTATAATGACTGTTCTTATAATACGTCTTCTCTGCTAATTAATGCTTCGTATATTATGTCTTCTTATAATGACTGTTCTTATAATACGTCTTCTTATAATTAATGTTCGTATATTATGTCTTCTTATAATGACTGTTCTTATAATACGTCTTCTTTATAATTAATGTCTTATTATGTCTTCTTATAATGACTGTTCTTATCGTCTTCTCCTTAATTAATGTCCGTATAATTATAATACGTCTTATAATGACTGTTCTTATAATACGTGTTCTCTCAATAATTTCATAATTATGTTCGTATATTATGTCTTCTCATAATTATAATGACTGTTCTTATAATACGTCTTCTTATAATTAATGTTCGTATATTATGTCTTCTTATAATGACTGTTCTTATAATACGTCTTCTTATAATTAATGTTCGTATATTATGTCTTCTTATAATGACTGTTCTTATAATACGTCTTCTTATAATTAATGTTCGTATATTATGTCTTCTTATAATGACTGTTCGTATAATACGTCTTCTCGCATAACGTTCGTATATTATGTCTTCTTATAATGACTGTTCTTATAATTATCGTCTTCTCATAATTAATGTTCGTATATTATGTCTTCTTATAATGACTGTTCTTATAATACGTTCTTCTCATAATTTAATGTTTCTATATTATGTCTTCTTATAATAGCTGTTCTTATAATGGAAATTCTTATAATTAATGTTCGTATATTATGTCTTCTTATAATGACTGTTCTTATAATACGTCTTCTTATAATTAATGTTCGTATATTATGTCTTCTTAATGGCTATTCTTATAATACGTCTTCTTATAATTAATGTTCGTATATTATGTCTTCTTATAATGACTGTTTTATAATACGTCTTCTCATGTTAATGTTCGTATATTATGTCTTCTTATAATGACTGTTCTTATAATACGTCTTCTTATAATTAATGTCCGTATATATGTCTTCTTATAATGACTGTTCTTATAATACGTCTTCTCATAATTAATGTTCGTATATTATGTCTTCTTATAATGACTGTTCTTATAATACGTCTTCTTATAATTAATGTTCGTATATTGCGTCTTCTTATAATGACTGTTCTTATAATACGTCTTCTCGTAATTAATGTTCGTATATTATGTCTTCTTATAATGACTGTTCTTATAATACGTCTTCTTATAATTAATGTT